ACCCTCTATGAGGTGGATTGATTCAGTGACTGGGTAATCGGGATGGGTATGTCAGAGGCAATGAGACTGGCACAGGATAGAGCAGGGTTTAGGGCTTTCGTACATAGGGTCGCTATGAGTCACAAACGACTTGACGGCACATAACAACAACAACAACAACCTAATACAGTAACCAGATGGGCAGAAAGCAGCTTGATACTCACCAAAGACCAGGGGGAAACAGAAGTGTGGACAGAATACAAGACAAATTCATGTGCCACTAATGCCTAGTAGTTGTCTCTTAGGCGCCTAATCTCTGACCCATACCATATTTGTCCCTAATTCCCTTTGTTGTTGTGTACCAGAGTCAGAATCGACCCACAGCTGACCCTCCAGCAGGTTTTTAGAGGCAGTTAATTACATGGGAGGAGACTGCCCATCCTTCTACCACAGGGCACCGGGTGGATTCGAACCACGTGCTTTCTGGATTGCAGCCTCGCTTCTGGCCACTAGGCTGATTCTTACATATAGTACCTACCATATATTAGCTATGTTTTTTTAATATTACAAACCAAAGCAAGCTGTCATCAAGATGAATTCTGACTCAGCCGTCCTACAGGACAGAGCAGAATTGCCCACAGGATCGCTGAGGCTATAAAGTTTTAAACATGCGTTTCATCTTAGCCAAGTGCTTTAACTCGGTTGCCAAGGCTCCTGGTTTTAAGACTTTAATAACTAAAGGCAGATACCAAATATTCTTCATCCCTGCGATTTTTTATCCTAACACAAAGACTGAATGATGATGATCTAGATGCCAATTTGGTAAACAAACGTGAAAAAGAACATGAAAAATGTCAGAAATCATCACCTTGAGTTTTTGCAGTTCACCTTCAATGTCTATCTCCAAAGTAGGGTATATAGATTTGTACTGATTAGCCAGAACTTTGAATCTGAAAAACAAAAAGAACTAAGACATTAAATTCTGCTTAAAGTTACCCCTCTGGAAAACACTGGATTCAAATGACTTCTGTAGATGAAAAAAGAATAAAAATGTAATTAATTAAATGAGGTACTTAAATAAATGACATACCCCAGCAAATGGTGACTGAAATCTGATTGTTAGTCTAAAGAATCAAATCTGAATTAATTGTATATTGTCTGACAAAGGGAGGAGGCAGTCCACATGGAACATGACACTTGTCCCTTCTCTCTACTATTTTCAGTGGCAGCTCCTGTCAGTGCAGACAGACAGCTGGCTAAAGATGGACACATCAGGTCATTACAGGTTGGCTACCACCTGTTAGTGTAATCCCATCCCGATTCTATGTATGGCTTTCTGATAATTACTGGACTTCCTATGAATTCCTCTCCTGGCCCATCCCACCTCAAGTTAACATGGCAGTTCTATCACTCAACGTAACAACTCAACCAGGACAACTCTCTAGTACCGTAAGCTAACTATCAGTGAGCAGGCATACATTAACGAAGTCTCTGGAACCAAAAGGCTAAGGATCAAGATCCTAGAAGGTGTGATTCCACCCACTACTGTGCCATGCCCTCTGGAAATACCTCTCATTTTCTGCAAACCTTTCTAAACTCCAATCTCCACATGTCTAGTTTGGTTTTCTTGGGGTACTGATTTTATATCACCATCTCTGATTTTTTACGAAGTGAGTCTGAAATAAGGATCAATTAGATGTCACAAAAATCGCTTTAATAATTCTAATGAAATAAAAAAGCCAGCACATTATTTAACTAGAATACTGACTTCCCCAACTGTGCACCAGTTTTCCTACAGTTATCAAAGTCCATTCCTTTTTCCCAATTTCAAGTTAGTTAATTACCTCTCCGAGAAGCCATCAAAATCGGAAACGAGATCACACATCCGGAGCCCACTCCGAGCAGCTTTGGAAGAATACACGGGGCCAATGCCTTTTTTGGTGGTACCCAAACTTCAAAACAAACCAAAATAATAAGCAATAGGTCAGACAAGAGAGATTCCATTTTTTTTTTTTTTTCGTTTTTGGAGGTTTTTTATTGTACTTAGCTTTGACAGATACTGACAAACACGGAGGACACTAATATAAACTGACAGTAAACAGTCTTTGCCCAAAGTCAGTGAAGTTCTGAGAAAACACATAAGAAAGTGAAAAGATGAACTCAGTTTTACATTTTTTTCTAACACAACAGTTTTTGGAGGTTTGTACTTCTCTTCGTGCTTTCAGTTTAGTAAAAGTTAAAAAAGGACATTAAGTTTGTAAATACTGATACCAAATTGTATAAAACTGACTAGAACTATCTGGGCAGAAGTTAATCATTTTACAAAACACTGTAATTTAAGATCATCAGATGTAACTTAAATTGTTCTGTTTTTGGAACTTTTAAGTACCCCTGGCATTTTAACCTAGGAAAATTAGCATGCATCAAATAGGAAAACTGGTATTCTAAATAAGTTTTATTTCTTTGACATTGTTTTTACTGACAGTGTATATAATGAGAAAAAAAATTGTTTTTCTTTCTGCCAAAATTTAGGAATTGATAAAATTTAAGTCACAGAAAACCTATTCAACTTACCCACAAAATAGAGCAAGTTAAAACAGAGAGAAAGACAAATAGAATCCAAGATACCGGAGAGATTCCATTCTTACAGGCAAATTATCACACAGAATGAAGTTACATTTGATTAATTTCTAGTTAGGCTTTATTTAAAAAAAACCAAACAAAAAACAAAAAAAAAAACCCTAACAACAATAATAAAAAAACCTCAACACAACCACATTCATTTTCTCTGAAGCCTGAAAAGGATATTACAGTATTTCTTTTCCTCTCTTAAATCTATCACCTAGATGTTAAAACTACAGGTCTGGGTGTGATTTACACTGTACCAAAAAAAAGCACCATACTTTTTCCCTGCTTGCTCTTGTCTCTGTTGTTCCTGGATCCCATCAGCTGCTTGATGAAAATCAAATACTAAAGGGAAGAAAGAAAACTCAAATTGGTTCCTGAAACAAAGTAATTGATACAGGACAGCCAAAACACTATATTTTAAATCACTGAAGTTAGAAATCCTTTCACTATCCTTCATTATGACAAATTAAATGAATACATCTTTTCAAGTGATGATAATAATAGGGAGGTAAAGAATAGTTAGTACTCAGAGGGGATGGATAACATCCGGAAGTCTAGGATTTTTGTTCATACTTTCTTTTCCTTCAGTAACCTTAACCTATCATCACCACTCACTAAAACCACTTTTCTACTCTTGTTCCTGTTGTCAGATGTCACTGAGTCCACTAAGACTCATAGCGACCCCTCAACAACAAACCTTTCTCTGTCCTGCAACCGCCTCATGATCTCTGTCATGCTCAAGTCCATCATGGAAGTCACTGTGTCAGTTTACTCTTGGACCTCTTTTATCCATTTAATTTAATGTAGTTAAAGTCATTTTCCCCAAATCACAAATATTATGTTACCACTCCCTGCCTTCAAAACTCAATGACCTTCCATGGCTTAAAAGATAAAAATATGTCCAAAACCTCTTTAACAGACCTCAGAATCACCTGCCCTTTGACCTAACATCCCTCTCTGCCTCTGGACACAGTAGTCCTTAGCTGTAAGATATACATTGTGCCTTCTGCCTGGAACAGAAGTCTCCTGGCTATCCTCAGTGCATGCACACTTGTTCACTTAAATACTCCTACCATGGCTCCCAGAGTACTAGTACTAGGTTAGTGGAGTTCACTAGTTGATTTCAGATACTTAAAACAACTACAAGTCCTCAAATATTTACTGACTGAATAAACAGCTTATATACTGGAACACATGAGGTTGCCCTGAATCAAAACAAGCAGGAAGGCAATTTAACTGGCTGGCTGGTTATGAATGAACAGATGTAGAAATCTAGTAACTAACAACAGCTTTTTGTTTGTTTTTAACAGGTTCATGAAGGGACTTAATATGGCCTGGTGGTTAAGGAGTTGCTCTGTCAACCCAAAGGGAAGCAGTTTAAATCCACAAGCTGCTGAGAAAGATGAGCAATCTCCTCCCCAGCGGAGAACTCAATGGCACAGCAACAACAGTAACAACAATGTATACACCAGAACACTTAACTGTGTTCATGTGGTATCAACAGAACAAGTGGAGACTATATAGTTTAACTCATCAATAAACCTAAAATATTCAAATAACACAACCTTAATTGCAGAAAATTAATAACACATGAAACATCTACTAATGAAATTCAAAGACAGCCATCAGTATAGATTAGACCTTAATATCAAGAAAAAAAATATCCTCACAAGTGGACCAATAAGCAACATCACAAAAATCTGAGAAAAGACTGAAGTTGTCAAGGATTTAATTTTCTTTTGACTCAAAAACAACCCTGGAAAAACAGTCAAGAATTCAAATTGCTTTGCAATGAGTAAATTGGCAGCAAAGAATCCATTTAAGCACTAAAGAGCAAGGACATTAATTTAAAGACTAAGGCACACCTGACCTGATGATGTTCAACAGACTGACACCTTGTCCAATCCTCACAATTTCTAACAGATAAATTTATTAATCATTGCTTTGTATGATCAATTAGTATCCCCGGTGGCTTTATTAAAAAGGAATTTTACATGCCTTGCATTAGTTAGTTATTAGTTAGAGAAGCTAATTTTTTCATTGGGTGATAGAACACTATTCTATCATCAATATTTGTCTGTCACAGAACTTACTAGGGGAGCAGCAATTCTTTAAAAAGGCATATTGTACACCAAAAAATATCTGTTAGAATGTCCAAAGCAGTGCTATTTACAATATAATAACCCAATTCTGTGAAAATTTCATCCATTTTCCATCAATGTTAGAACCAAGAAAGTACTGTACATTCCTATAATATCCAACTATAGAGCACATTTTATCGGGTAAAAGATAGGAAAAGTGTCTAACACATGCTTTAAAAAAGTTCAAAACAGACAATCTTCAAAATATCATAATCATAATAATTACTTTCACAAGTATCATCATCTGTGGTGTGTTTTTCCCCCCAAGAAGAGTCTTTGTCTGATGCTGCTTTAATTATCTCTTTCATTTTCCAGAACCTAAATATTGGAAACTTAAAATGTCAGACTGGGAGTCGGTTGAAAGGTTAGTGTGTATATTCAATAGTTAATGTTTTAAAAATTAGCTGCTTTACATGATAAACAAAAGCAAGAGGATTTATAAACTCCTTCCTCAGAAAAACCAAAACCAAAGTCTTTCATCCTTCACCAAGTTGAATTTATTATTTGAGACTGCCAAGCTTTGTCCTTACGCATCTATGCTATTAGTTACCCTGAAAATACAGATGTTAGTTTTCCTTTTAAAAAAAAAGATAGGGATAGTTCACATCAAAATTATTGTTTTAACTCAGTAGAGCTGAACTAGAAGTTACTGTTTCCAGGCTGTGGCTGCTACTAGATTTCCACTTGGCTGGATACACTGTAAGGACTGTCAACGCTGCCTGGTAAATAGAGGTCACTGATAAAAACTAGAGCAGATGGTGACTCAAGAGACAAACTCATTTAAATAGAACAGAAGTGTTCAGGTCAATCATACAGAAATTTCCACGTGGCTTAAAGCACTTACTTCTTTGACGATTGCAGCCTCTTAATCATGTCACTGCTACTCAATCCTATCAACTCACACAAAAGTCTATCTGAATCATTCAAAAAGTAATATTGTAATTAGGCAAAGAGTCATTCCTAAGATTTTTCAAGTGGATTATCCACTTTTACATATGCATTATTAAACACAAATAAATGCCATTTGTATTTTTATGGCTTACTTTTTAATAGGCTTATGTCTCATAAAAAGGGCTTATATTAATTTGATTAGCTCTTGCTTCAGAACTAGACAAGCTGAGCCTCTCACTGCTCATTCAGACAGACAGCTTCCACTCACTGAAGCCCTGAAGGACAGACAGAAGAAACTGCCTTCCTGAATGTCCTGGTATGAGATCTTCCAGAAGGTCACCAGGCGCTTTCCCCCAAGAGCTGCTGGTGCCTTTGAACTGCCAACCTCTAGCTTAGCAGCTAGCTGAGTGCTTAATCACTGCACCACCAAAAGAGCAAAAATAAACAAAAACATTAATATGGCTTTATATATCTGGATCCTAATTATTAAAATTCATCCAACTTAGCTTTCATTAAAATGGAAAAACAAAACTGGTCAGTAAGAGCTTACACTGGACAAATTCCTGATAAAATCTACAGCTGTAAGTAAATGCAGAATGTCCCCTTACCAATATGAGCTCTGTCTGATATGATAAGTCTCTTTTCCCAGCCTTCTAGACCTAGAGGGAAAGGGAGAAAATATACTTAAGTGAACATTTTATACAAAGATTTTTCAACCTTAATTTCTTTATCAACACAACATCTATATATGCTTTTCCCTAAAGGAATTGCTTTAGTATCTTTTCTTCCGCAAAGGAAATAAACAGTTTCTCTCAATTGTCCTTCATATAGAGTCATAAAAACTCTGAAGCTTTTTATTCCAAAAAGCTCTCAACTGCAGACCAGTAAAATGCATATAAAATAGTTTTAGAAGATAGAAAAGGTAAAGACAGGAATGCTTTCTTTTGCTGGTAGGAGACAAAGAAAGGTAGCTCAGCAAACAGGGTTAATGAATAGCATGCTTTCCAAAAGAAACTTTCTCCACAAAGTAGTGTATTACCTACTGCAGGCATCACATGAACTGTAATTATTTATTTATGAATTTGCTTTGTCATAGAATGGCAAATGCCTTACAGCAGAACGCATGCGTTTTCAAAACATGGGGTCTGTCATCAAACAAGTAGTCAAAAAACTATTGCATGAACAAGATACATGAATTCAAAGACAGGATAGGGAAAAATAGTTGAAGGAAATGATAGAGAACAGAGTACAGCGTGGGATTATGGGATTGGTCCAGATGATCAACTAAAAATTAAAGGACCAAGAAACCCAGCCAAAACTGCAGGATGCATATGAGATTTTATAACACCAGAATTAGCTCTAAGGAATCCTTGAGGGAACAGGTGGCTCATTTTAAACCTCGACATTTTTGCATTATGACAGAGTTATTTAAACCTGAACTAGGTAAAGGCAGAGTACTAATGACTTTCCTTCACTGTATATTATTTATAATATTTTCAAATTCCCCCCCATACTCTAGATACCTTAGATTGCTAAATTGAATGTAACGACACCTCCAAAATGCTAAAAAGATAGAGATAAAAGGAGCAGTGTCCCTAAGTGGGACCAGGTCCTGGCTTCCAGGGAGAGGTCAGGGAAGAATGCCAACCTGAGCACAAGTGACAGAAGTTTACTACTTTTGGATACAGACATCTAAGTCTTTTAGGTATGGCAAATCAAATAAGTCTGCAGATAACCATTAGGTTAAAAATTAGTGACCTGATACACAACAGCTCCAAACCTTACCCAGAAATTGGCTTTTAATATACTGTTTGGAAAGACCAAACTAATAGAAATGAAAATATTTCTCCTGCAACAATCTGTAATCTTAAAATACCACTAAAACAAAATGTTAAATCTGTCAGACATGAGTTCCTAAATTTCACAAAAAAATACTGAGGTCTAGGCAAAATAGTTTCCTCCTTTCATACCTTTTCCTTTTTTAACATTTTTCTCGGCTTCCTCAAACAATCCAGGTAGATGAATCACCACTCCATTTCCTAAAGACAAACAAACCAATCTCAGCTAGACACATCTACAAGCACACACTGTGATATTATAATACAGACACCTGCTTGCTTTCTGTTGTGTGCCACTGGACCCATGTGACAGAGCAGAACTCCGCTCAGAGTTTCCAGGGCATAATGTTCACAAGGAATAATCTGTCACCATGTTCCTCCCAAAGAGCAGCGAGGTGGGCTCAACCTCTAACCTGGTAGTTAGCAGCTGAGCCTTTAGTCATTATGCCACAGAGTGCTTGATAATATAAACATAAAATACTAAGAGACACTAATAATGCTTTTTTTTAAACCATTGTAAATGTTTATATATTTTCCCTTCCATATTTAAATAAACATGATTTCTTCTGACATGTACTTAGTTTTAAGTAAGCATAATGAAGAGTTAGTCTTCATTTTTTATTATTACAGCCATTATAAAATGTGTTTCTGGAAAACACTTTAGTATTGTTACAGTATCCTCTCATAAAACAGAAGGTATGCTTGGGAGTTGAGTACTTTAGTTGTACTAATAATGCTTTTAGTAAGAATAAAGTAGATGGGATACTAGATACTCTGATTTATCAGGGAGAGAGCCCAGAAATAACTCTTAAGTTTTAAACAGTGAAACAATGTAAGCACATATTACACACAATAGAATAGAAAACTAAACATACATGTAACATAACTTTAAGTGTCTTTGAAATAGTTAACTTTAAAGGATTGTGTTAAGTATCTTCAGGCAAATCAAACAAAAGGACAGCAGACTCTAGTTCGAAGTCTTCCAAATTGGAGAATCACACTCAATTTAACCAGAACTAAACCCACCGCTGCTGAGTCAGCTCTCTTGCAGGATTCCAGGGCCCTCAATCTCTGAAGCAACAGCCTGCCTCATCTTCTTCTTGCTCTGGGAGCATGAGATGCAAACCATTCACCTTCCGACAAGCAGATTGATGCTTAAGGCACTGCATCACCCAGACCCCTTGACACTCAATTCTTCATTCCACATTGCCATCAAGTTGGAACTGACTCAGATAACCATCCTTGAAGCTTCTGAGACTGAAAATTACACGCTCCTCTTCCTCCCACAGAACTACTGGTGGATTTGAACCATAAAGCCAATTAGCATTAATAAAAAATTAAAATTCAAGAAAATATTATATTGTATACCATGTAGTAAGAGTTCAGAATCAATCAGTGAAATATAGATCTACCCTATATTTACTGTGGCTCGTGAGCAAAAGTGGTTGAAAACCTGATCTGATGACCTAATACTTCTTCATGGAGTTAGCACTACCAAAAAAATCAGAAATTAATATAAAATAATTGTGCAAAAATTTAATGCCACTTGTTTTTGTGTACTGTAGAGTCAGAACTGACCCATAACTGACCATAGGTGGGTTTTCAGAGGCAGTTAATCTCACAGCAGGAGACTGCCCATCCATCTCCTGCAGAGCAGCTGGTGGCCTCAAACCAAGTGCCTTCAGGATTGCAGCACAGCTCCTTGACACTAGGCCACCAGATCTCCCTAATGCCTCTAAAGATCTAAATGATCTAAAGAAGAGTCAAAATTATGTATACTTCAGGAGTAAACTTATAAGGGATCAATGAACCATCTGGTGAGAAATGAAGTCCATTTTGACAGCCAAAAATTGCACATTATTAACTGGAGGAGAAGGGACCCCGATGCAATTAACTTTGAGTACTTACCAATGAATGCGGTAATGTTTGGATTAATTATGCCACTGGGTAAAAGATGAAAATCATATTCTACAGAATCAACAACAACTGTATGGCCAGCATTATTTCCTCCCTGAAACACAAGAAAAGGGAAAACTAAGCTTGACAATAAATGACAGAGAATATATCTCCTTCTAAAGTGAATAAATAATTTACTTTCTGCTAAAATGTCAGTATCACTTCAGAAACCCAAGTATTTGTCATGTATATACCGGCTCCTCAGAGGCTTCAGAACAGTGTGTCCAGCCTTCCACTGCCACTACAGTACAGTGAGTCTGGAGTATATGAAAATTGGAGAATTCTGGTTTCAAGGGGACACTTCTCTTCTTAAAAGACACAAAATGTGAAAAAATAAAAAGGCTTTATTTGGCATTAAGTAAGGCATGCAGCAATCTTATTATTTATAAGTTAATCATGTGAAAACTATCTCTAGGACAGAGTCATCCATACAATTACCCTAACTTAATGCATTCACTTAATTCCCATTTTCCTAAGGCTGTGTCAAGCAAGTTTGCAATCTTTAAATTCCTACATGAACTTAATAAAAGAATACATGATACTGCCTCTCCTAAATAGTGTTTCTCTTGGAACTCTAAATGTGTCAATCACTCCCTGAGCTCAGTCAGTGGTGAGTTCCTAGAGCCTGCTCCTCTCTGGCTAAACTAATGCATTTAGAACAAGGAAGCTTTAAAAAAATTAAAAAAAAAAAACAAAACACGGAAGCTTTAAAGCTGAGTCATACTATTAAGTTATGGTGACACTTCTGCTTTATGAAGTTAATGCCTTGTAAACAAGCAAAGAAAAAAGTTCAAATGTGAAAAGTCAAATCATAAAAAGTACAGAGAGGTTAAGGATTAAGAGGTAATTTATACATATGCATATTTAATTTTTTATTCCCTATACATAAATGATAAAGAATGTCTATCTGTGTTTCATTGACTCTGCAAAGGCATCTGACTGTGGATCACAACAAATTGTGGCTAACTTTGAGGTGACTGGGAATCCCAGAACACTTGATGGTGCTTATGCAAACCTATACTTGGACCAGGAGGCAGTAATAAGAACAGAGCAAGGAAACACTGCATGGTTCAAAATCAGGAAAGGAGTGCCTCAGGGAAAGTCTGCAGTAAGGTGGGATGCAGGATCCACACGCAAAAATCAGTACCAGAAAAGTATCAGAAGCCAGAAATCAGGAAAACACTAGCATTTAAAGAAACAATACAAAGAAGAAAAAAATTACTTGGGAATAGGCCCAACTAGAGATGCAAAAGTATACAAAGGAAACTACAAAATATTAATTGAAGAAGCTAAGAAACCCGCACAAGTGTAAAAGCATGTCTTGCTCACGGACGGGAAGAGTGAATATTTTGAAAATTTTAGCACTGACCAAAGTGAACTATAGATATTATGTAATTATAATTTAGATTCCATCAACATTCTTCAAGGAGATGCGGTATGGAACCCCCAAACACAAACTATTAACTTCAGATAGAAGAATGAGACCTTGGATAAGCAAAGCACTCTCACCCCAATTACAAAGCTCTAATTATAAAGCCATGAAGGGTGCTCCAGTGGCTGAGTGAGTAAGGAACTGTGCTGCAAAGTAGAGTTCAACTCCACCAGCTGCTTCACCAGAGAAAGGTGAACTGTCTCCTGTGTGATTTATAGCCTCTAAGTACCTACTGGAACTAAGTACCGACCAGAGGAATATCTATCTGTGCTTCACTGATTATGCAAAGGTGTTTGACTATGTGGATCTGAGAAGAATGGGAATCCCAGAACACTTGATCGTGCTGATGCGAAACCTCTACCTGAACCAAGAGGCAGTCGTCAGAACAGAGCAGGGTAACACTGCATGGTTCAAAATTGGGAAGGGTGTACGCCTGGGATGCATCCTGTCTCCATACCTTTTCAAAATGTATGCAGAGCAGATTATCCGAGAGGCTGGGCTCTATGAGGAGAACTGTGGCATCAGGATTGGTGGAAGATCTATTAACAATCTGCGTTATGCAGATGACACAACCCTGCTTGCTGAAACTGAGGAGGACCTCATGCACTTGCTGCGAAGGGTCAAGGACTGCAGCCTTCAGTATGGACTAAGGCTCAATGTCAAGAAGACAAAGATTCTCGCCACTGGACCGACTGGCAGCATCAGCATGGATGGTGAAGAGATTGAGATTGTTCACAGCTTTAGTCTGCTTGGCTCCACAATCAATACTCTTGGCACCAGCAGCCAGGAAATTAAAAGACATATTGCAATGGAAAAGTCTGCTGTTAGGGACCTCTCTAAAGTACTGAAGAGCAATGGTGTCTCTCTGGAGACTAAAGTGTGTTTGATACAGGCCATGGTCTTTGTAATCACTTGTTATGCATCAGAGAGTTGGACAATAACTAGGGAGGATAGAAGGAGAATTGATGCCTTTGAGCTTTGGTGTTGGAGAAGAGTATTGAGGGTACCATGGACTGCCAAGAAAACAAACAGATTCATCCTGAAGAGGGTTAAAAAGGGCTACTCCTTGGACGCAAGGATTCTGAGGCTTCATCTGACATATTTTGGTCATGTTGTAAGGAGAGACCAGTCCTTGAAGAAGGACATCATGCTTGGGAGGGTGGAGGGCAGGTGCAGAAGGGGAAGGCCCTCTATGAGGTGGATTGATTCGATGACTGAGGTAATCGGAATGGGTGTATTGGAGACTGTGATTGGCACAGGACAGAGCAGAGTTTAGGGCTGTTAAACATAGGGTAGCTATGAGTCTCAAGCAACTCGACAGCACATAACAACAACAACAACAACAACAAGAAGTACCCACTGGAGGGTCAGCAGTAAATATTTTTTTTTTTTTAACAGGGACAGTCAAGGGAATGTTGGGGACAAAGTCACAAAACACTGTTACATACACTGGCATCTAAGAGCTGCCAAATTCTCATTTTTAGAATGTTAAAAACTGAGACTCTACTTCTTGTACAGTCCAAGAAAGGTCATCCTGGATCTAACCCCTTTAACGACAGGGGTCAAGTCTCATCATAGGAAACAGCTTAAGACTAACGCAGGTCTGTACAGCACTCACACACTTTAGTGTTAACAATGGGAGTGAGTCTCAGATTGCAAAAGGGTATGTGTAGTCCTTGCCTTCAAGAACACAATGGGCTGGAGACACACGGGGCAGCCAGATGCAGGAAGGAGCAACAAAACTTTTGTGTAAAGACCTGGACACACCCACAGGGTGGCTCAGAAGTATCTGTTTCTCAAGGAAGAAGTAGGAAAGAGCAGGAAGGCTTCTGGAAAGATGAAAGTTGTGTAGACAGTTTATCTTTATACCTCTCAGCAACACATAAAAATGCAAAACTCAGTTTTACACCCAAGATTGTGGGACTGAAAGTTCACACTCTGGAGCCTTGGGAGTCCAGCAAATGACGGTGTGACTGTGGAGCCCAGAGAGCTACTTCTAAGGTCACAGCGTGATGAGTGAGGGAAAGGGCAGGTGGGGGAGCAGACCTCTTGACCAGTGAGGACTGCCTCTGTCTCTCAGTGACTTTCCTCTTCATCTCCAGCAGTAAATATTTTAACTCAGCAGCTCAATGCTCTTCCAACAAAAGCATACAGTTGTGGAAGTCAAAGAAGCTTGGTTCTGTCCCAATAGTGGAGACATGTAAACCAATGGAACAGAGTCAGGAATGCAGAAATTATTTCATCCACATATGGGCAGCTAATCTTTGATGTAGATCCAAAAAACATGAAATGGAGAAAGATAAACTCTTTAACAAATGCTGTTGGCAAAACTGAAGAAATGAAACAAGATCTACACTTTACACCATATACAAGAAGGTAATTCTGTTTAGATCAAAGATTTAAATGTAAAACCAAAAACAAAAGATCAAGAGTAGAGGGTAAACTAATGAATGGCACATTCTGAAACTTAAATTCTTATATGGATCAAAAGACTTCTCTAAAATCTACAGTGGAGGGGTATTGGGAGGGAACATTTGGCAACAAAATATCTGATAAAGGACTAAGCTCTAAAATTTGTAGAAAATCCCATCATCTAAATAACAAACCTGGAAGCAGGAGCAGCATCCACTTCCGAAATGGCTTGCCTCTAGAAACTCTATGTACGAACAGTGCTCAAGCCGTTCGTTCATAGGGTCACTATGAGTCGACGACATCAAACAACAACAACAACAACAACAAATAACAGACAGTCCAATTAAAAAATATATGCTATAAAAATGCTATCATTCATTAGATATCATTGATATCCGTAGATATTCATCGGATACTGCACCCCAGCAAAAGTAACAAAGTTTAATAAGATGGAAAGCAATACCTGCTAGCACAGAAGATGAGACTGTGGAATAGCAGAGCTTCTGTACAAATCTTATGATGCTCCCTTAAGAATTTAGAAGTAGAAATACCATTTAATCCAGTAATCACATTAATACTATATCTTGCCCCAAAATAAGAGCTAGGACATGAATAGATATGTATGTGCACTCATGTTCATTGAAGCATTATTTACAATATCACAGAAACAACTTAAACACTCTCAGCAGAGGACTGGATAAACAAGCAATGTTACGTCCTGCTGTGCAAAGCTAAAGCATAAGGGAAGCAGCATGTGCTGTTGGTAAACCTAGAGGACACTGTGCTGAGCAAAATAAACCAGACACAAAAGGAAAAATACTGTATGAGTCTCCTACTATGAAAAAGCTGAAGAAAAGTGTACAAACAGAATGAAATCTATATTGAAGTTTACCAGTGATGGGTGAAGAAGGGAAGTTTTTTTAAAAGGGTGAAAGAATTTTTCTTTTACTTTTCAAAGAGAAGAGTGTGCTGGAGGGGCAGGGAGAAAAGTGCAACAATGAACGAATGGAAATCCAAAGTCCTGTAAATTTTCATTTATAATAATAAAAAAATTTTTTTAAAGATTTATATGCCTCTCATGGGACCAAGTAATCGTATACCCATATACAAAGGAATATAACGCAGCTGTTAAAAGGACTGAAGAGGACTGTGGACTTCATAAGATTTGTTAAGTGAAAAAAGCAAGCTGACAAAGCGTGCAGTTT